AAGATTTACAGAACTCGTTGCCGTCCAGCCATCACGTCGCAATTGTTCGAGCCGAAGCCAGCCGAAAATTAGGCCACGCGTTGTTTGCGTCGAAAAGATTGACTTTTGAAACTAGGTATTTTAGTGTCCATATCATTTTATGACTCCAGGTGATTGTAAATGTATTTTTCTTGCGTTGTCTAATTTTGTGTGTCTTACCACACTGTTATTGTATTATGCTGAATTTGTGAATTTATTGTTCATTTGAATTAATGTCTTTTGATACCTCGTGAGCGCACTATATTTTTTACACGAATACGATAATAGAATTTGATAATATCCTGTGTTCGTGTCGTTTCTTGTTGCGAACCCCTTGTTTGGGTCAACGGAAAGATTCCAGTCTGTCCGTCATCCGACTTTAGACCCAAATACGGCCGTAACAATGTAGACAACATGATATATTTCATTTGTCACCATATAAAATAAAATATTATATATGTACATTTCTTTTTTTTAATTCACATCACTGTTGCATTGTCATGTCCGCGCTTATCAAAGTCGACTGGACTCGACAACGTGACAGTGAAATATTAGCTGTATTTATTTATTTATTTATTTATTCAGGTCAGTTCAGTTCACGTATTGACCCAAATCACGTAATGTTATTCTCCATTGTTGTATTAATGTCTGTCATTCTAACCAAATTGTAAGTTGAAACATGGTTTATGCTTGCATGTAACACACTACCGTTAACAACGTTGCACATATAATAAATATTTTAGAAGGTTACATTGAATAAAGTATTTATAAAAATAACGTTTCTTCATTTCTCTGTTAAATTTTAGTCTGGGCCATTTTCTGATATTTATGTATAAGAGTCTCGATTTGAATACAATGTTGGTGAAATCGATCAAGCTCGTTTAGCAACCAAATAGATGATTGTGCACCATCGAAAAAAACATGTAATAATATCAAATTAACATCAAAAGTAATTGCAAGAAAAAAAAAACATAACCAAACTGACTGTCTTGAACTGACTACAAATTTCTACCGCTGGATGCATCGACACGTGTTTCACATTGAAAATGGGTCAGGTGATAAACGGCTCTTGTATTGGTTCATTGTATTATAAGGGTCAAATGCCAAAGGTGAATGACTGCCACGTGAACCGTATATGCACATGTTTCATAATGATGGCATTTTAAAAGTACGTGTAAATGTTGAATTTTCTTGATTCACTTGAAAAAACAAATAAGTGTCAATCAATAACAAATGTTAGACTAAATGAATTTACACCTGACGTTGCACGTGTCATTCAACCATATTTATCAAGAGGACATTTACAGTAACGAAGTGTCACGTGTTCAACAACAAGACAAGACAGTTGCCATGCTGAGAGCACACAAATTAATTTTCGAAATCAGGTAGGAGGAAATATTTGTGTATTGTAACTTTTTTTATTTAATCGTTATTTCAGGATTTTATTTGACTAAAATATGTACAGCTGTTTTATCAAATACAACTGAAAGTTCTCCATGTGGTCCAGTCTTTTACTGCTTGTATATTTAGTGGACATTTCAGATAAAAGTGGGACGACTCATCGAGGAAATGTTACTGACTATATATGGGTGATAGCTATTGGAGTGGTACTTGTGATCATCATAGTCGTCGCTATATTTACGTTTCATCATAAATTAAATAGATTGTTACGTACCGCAATGCATATCAATCTAACAGGTATGCTCTTACTAAATTATGCCACAAAATGTATACTGTCACTGATATAATAAATGAATATAATGTGCATGTCATGGAGTGATATACTTCTGTGACTTAAGTTTGATTTTAAAAACAAAACACAATGGGTAATGAGAATTTTGATCGTGTATAATTCAGGTAAATAATGTTAATTAGACTATGAATTTAGATAAATCATATTGCAATGTTGTTCACATGTAGGTTGAGATAACATATCAGTATATATGCCCAAAGAGAAAATAGAAATCCTTGGTGTGACTTGCGACAAAAATAGAATTATGAACTGCAGAAATCAAGGATTGAGCAAAATGGATGCCATGCAAGTCGCAGTTGAATTGACGGATCGACGGGAAGATTTACATATTCAACAGATGGCCGAACCATTATTTGACAGTGATGAAAGTATATTTAGTTCTGTCACATCATTGTCTATTGGCGCAGATGCCTTTACGTAAGTAACAGACTATTTTGATTTATCACGCTGGAAATAATATCCGACATGTGAATTTAAACATGAAATGCAAGTGATAGAAAAATTATGCACAATCATATACCGATCTAGCTATTAGAAGCAAATCGTTCAATTCCAACGTATAGATACATTGCATACGGAACACCCAGTCATGCGTCCGTCGCGCATCCTTTTTTATCTATGTTTGTACTTTAGATTTCGACAAATACCAGCAAGTCCGGTTTCTTCATGTGTCAATATTGATAACAATACATCTTACAAATATGGAAACATTCACCCAGAAAGTCAATGTGGTTCTCAAACATCTTCACATAATAATCTAACCAATAACAGTAAAGGCAAGCAATCTGGAGTGTTGTTAAAAGTAGTGCAAAATATTAAAGCAGACTGACTTTTATAACTTA